AGCCCCCCCCGGACCAGGGCGGGGGGGCCCAACCCCCTCCCTGGCCGCTGGCCATGCTTCTCCTGATGCAGCCCAGGGTAGGGTTGGCTTCTGGGATAACAGGGTTAGGGAACGGTTGGGCAGGGGGACCTTAAAGGGCTTTTCCAACCTCAACGATTCTATGATATTCTCCTTCAGAAGAGAAAGGTAGTTAAATTCAAAATGCCTTGTAAAGACGCCTTTTCACATTACACACACAAACGGCAGCACTTGTTTCACGGGGCTGTTACCGATTTTTGCACTCGTGCTGCATCATCCAGAACGCCGGGTCAGGACGCAGCCGTCGGCCGCAAGGGCTGTTTGCTACGCGGAGAAGCCGCGCGCTGCCGATGCGAGGAGGGCGCCCGCTCGGAGCAGAATCGCGGAGGGGCCGCACGCGTTCACCCGTTACGCAGCCGGGCAGTAAAAAAAAACAGCAAACGTTTTGCTCAGCCATCCAAAGCGTTCTTCACCCTGCCCAAGCCAAAGGTCGTTTTGTCAAGGCCGGTTCCAAGCGTTTTCACAGGATCGGCCCGGCCCTGCCCGGCGATCGAGAGGTGGCAGTGCGGCACCGCCGTCTGGCCGCGACACCGAGATAAACACAAGGGATGCGTTCAAGAAACGCACCGCTCGCCTGACGAGGACGTGAAACTGAAACGGGTGCAAAAGGGTCCAGGTTTTTTACCGAGATATTGCTTTACCCGTTATTTCGGTGCTTATTTAGATTTTTGGAAAACTCGCTGCTGTATTTGCCCCCCCCCGTCACGGCCCCAGGCGCTCAGCACCCGGAGACGACCGCCACCCGGCTATCGCACAGCCCAGGGAAGGGAGGAACTGCGAGAACAAGGCCGCCTTCCTTCCCATCCCAAAAGCAAAATATCCCATTAAAGAGAAAATACAGCAGAATTACAGATAGGAGAGGATATAACAGCAGCGGCGAGGGGACGACGGCAAAAAGGAGCAGGGGTGGGATGGAGGAGGGACCCAGCGACCCCAAAGCCCCCGGCCCCGTTGCTCTTGGGGCTCAACACGCATGGCCACCCCCTCACTTCATCCTGAAGTTCCAACTCGCCAAGGACGTCTGCCAAAGAAAAACGGTAACGGGGAACGAATCAAACCCGCTATCCTAGGAACCACGCGAACTCCACTTTCCCTAACGCCCCAACACGGCCCCAGCGCTTGTTTGGGAGGCGACCCAGCAGATTTCTCAAAAGTGGCATCATGTAAATAGAAATGGAAACACAGAGAGAGGAGGAAAGGCTGAAAAGGAGAAAAGTAGAGGAAAAAAATAAATAACTTTATGTATGCACTCATGGATGTACACACATACCCCCCACACTAACAAATCTACTTCATTAATGCTGATTTATTTCCCCCAAATCCACTACTTCCATGTGCAAGCGACCACTTATTCTGGACACTTAATAGATATCTATATTGCTCTTTATTTTAGATACAGGAATTAAGTAACCAAAAAGACACAGAAAAAGGAGCCAAAAATAAGTAGAAATGACGCATCATTCCTACCCGTCTTAGATTTCTAGTCTAATTTACACAGGACCCACTAAAAACATCTCAAGATATTTGCAGCTGTAATCCATTCTGAAAGTGTAACAAGACCCTCCAGGCCCTTTTTTCTGGCCCTTATAAGAATTCCAAGTCTTCCTCGAAACATTCTGTGGATTTGTAGGAAACACAGCAAAGTACGATGCACCCACACCACCGGTTTAGCGCCAGTTGTGCTTTTACAGGAAACCTCTCCCACTTGTCCCTAACTTTTGTTTTGTACCTTAGAGGAGTCGCAGTGCATGTGAAGTCAATTCCTTACCGGTAAATGTAGAATTCTACATTAAAAAAAAAAAAAAAAGCCAGGTAAAAAAAAAAAAAGGATGTGCATGAAGGCTTACGAACCATGGCCAAATTACTCATGGGCTTCCAGTCCCTGGATCGCTATTAGGTGCTCCAAGTCCACTCCAGCACGCCTCAGCCCACGCACACCCCCGCGATGCTCGGCAATGCCGTAGGGCCAAAAAACCTGTATTACAGCGTAGGTAACCCGTTGCCCCGTTCGCCCTCGATCCCTCAAAAGCACTGAGCCACAGGCACTGGTTATCTGCAGGATGCCCTTCCCGCGGGATGAGCCTTTGAGAGGTTTAGCATATGAGGTTTGTAACACCCCGGTTCAATTAGAATCAGCGTAGTATCAAGATATCCCAGGTAATTTTTAATGTCGCTATAGAAAGTCCCTGAACTCCCAAAATTTATCA